TATATTCTTGATCAGCATCACCAGGAGAGTCGATCTAGCCATGTCCGTCTGTCCGTTTCTACGCAAACTAGTCCCTCAGTTTTAAAGCTATCTGCTTGAAACCTTCCCAAAAGTTGTCTTTCTATTGCAGGTGGTATATAAGTCGGAACGAGCCGGATCGGGCGACTATATCATATAGCTGCCATATAACTGAACGCTCGGAAAAGCCATAACTTTTGTGTTTCCAAAGTTAGGAAGGAATTTTCTATGGGTTTTATTTTTGGCCAATCAATCCGACCTACCGAATTTCATAAGGATCGGATGACTATATCCTATAGCCGCCATATAACTAATTGATCGGAAATGCCATAACTTTGGTGTTTTTAAAGTTAGGAAGTTGTTATTTTCTATGGGTTTTATTTTTGGCCAATCAATCCGACCTACCGAATTTCATAGGGATCGGCCCTACATCTTATAGCTGCCATATAACTGAACGATTGGAAATGTAATAACTTTGGTGTTTTTAAAGTTAGGAAGTTTTTACGAGTCTTAAGAATGCATCATATGAATAATTTTGGGGAATATAATTTACAGAATATTCTGCAAGGGTATATCAACTTCGGCTCCTCCCGAAGTTAGCTTTCCTTTCTTGTTTTACATAAGACGTTATCTCCAAAAGGTTTGTTGTCGTAGACCTTCCCCTATAAATCCATGTTGACTTGGGTTCACCTGGTTCATTAGCGCTAATTTGACCCCATTTAGCCATCAATGCAGTTTTTAAGGACTCCCTGACTCTCACACATGTTCTATGGGATTTAAATCAGGTGACTGGGGAGGTGTTTTGTTATAAAAGCCACTCTTGCACCAAAGACGAAGAATGTTGTCTTGTTGAAACAACAATGTCTTCGGATCTAAACCAAGTTTTATATCACTTGGAATCAAATTTTCGCTTAAAATGTTTTTGTACATATTCTTATTAATTTTGTCGTCAATAAAAAACCATTTGACCGACTTCTCCTACCGACACACACCCCCAAATCATTACATTCCCGCCACCATGCTAAACAGTTGGAATTAAGTTCTTCTCATTCATGGCTTCATTTGGTTTCCTCCACACTTTCAAGGGCCCATAGTGTCCAAATATGTAAAATTTGGATTCATCGCTATAAACTACGTTCTCCCAAAACGAATCCGGGTGGTTATATGCAGTTTTCCAAACTCCAAACGCTTTTTTTTGTTGATGGCAGAAGTTAATTGCTTTCGACGAGCAACTCTGCCATGTAAACCAGCCTTGTACAGGTAGTTTCGGATGGTTTGGGCTCAAACTTTTTTTATTTTCGCTTGATGTACATTCTTTTGAATTGTTGTAGATGTTGTTTTCGGATTTTTCAGGACTGTATACATAAATTTCCGTCCCTCACGTGAATACAGAATCTTAGACCTTCTAGCTTTCTTGTGATTTGAAGCTCATTATTCCGTTTTTAAGTATTTTTGGATTATACTATGTATTGTGAAAGGTGATTTTCCATTAATACGACCGATTTCGCGATAACTACGATTTTCCAAAAATTAATTTAAGATAGATTTTCGAAAATCTAGTGACAAATCTTTAACTCCTTCCATTTTGACCAATCGTATCAAAAAACAAGAAAGGAAAGCTAACTTCGGACGGAGCCGAAGTTGATATACCCTTGCAGAATATTCTGTAAATTATATTCTACAAAATTATTAATTTGATGCATTCTTAATACTCATAAAAAGTCCCAATTTCCTAATTTTAAAAACACCAAAGTTATGGCATTTCCAATCGTTCAGTTATATGGCAGCTATAAGATATAGTCGGCCGATCCTTATGAAATTTGGTATGTCGGATTGATTGGCCAAAAATAAAACCCATAGAAAATCGCAACATCTTAACTTTACAAACACCAAAGTTATGGCACTTCCGATCAATCAGTTATATGGCGGCTATAGGATATAGCCGTCCGATCCCTATGAAATTCGGTAGGTCGGATTAATTGGACAAAAATAAAGCTCATAGAAAATCCCTACTTCCTAATTATAAAAACAGCAAAGTTATGGCTTTTCCGATCGTTCAGTTATATCGCAGCTATAAGATATAGTTGCCCGATCCGACTCGTTCCGACTTATATACTACCTGCAATAGAAAGACAACTTTTGGGAAAGTTTCAAGCAGATAGCTTCAAAACTGAGGGACTAGTTTGCGTAGAAACGGACGGACGGACAGACGGACGGACAAACGGACGGACAGACGGACGGACAGATGGACATGGCTAGATCGACTCTCGTGGTGATGCTGATCAAGAATATATATACTTTATAGGGTCGGAAATGTCTCCTTCACTGCGTTGCAAACTTTTGACTGAAATTATAATACCCTCTGCAAGGGTATAAACACATAAAAACTAACAAAAAACAAAAAAAAGCACGCCGAAAATTACTCCGAAGTAATTTCAAGTAAACTACTTTAAAAAGAATCGCCGATTACCGTTGAGTTTAGAAATAAACACAATAAATGAGAAATGTGCAACATTTTAGCAATTTTTTTGCTTTTCTTTCAATATTTGTAAGGCTAATTTAAAAAATTAAATTTTTGTTTGTGTAATGTCTTCTGAAAATCACTCTTTCTATGATACGTACAAAAAAACCTGCTAAAATTACGAATATTCCGGCAAATAAGCTGTTAAACTTGATAATAGACAGTGTCCGAATAAATTTTGTGCTGACTGTATGTAAGTAACTTTGTTTGCAACAAGAAAGGAAAGCTAACTTCGGACGGAGCCGAAGTTGATATACCCTTGCAGAATATTCTGTAAATTATATTCTTCAAAATTATTCATATGAGGAAGTCCCAACTTCCTAACTTTAAAAACACCAAAGTTATGGCATTTCCAATCGTTCAGTTATATGGCAGCTATAGGATATAGTCGGCCGATCCTTATGAAATTTGGTAGGTTGGATTGATTGGCCAAAAATAAAACCCATAGAAAATCCCAACTTCCTAACTTTACAAACACCAAAGTTATGGCATTTCCGATCAATCAGTTATATCGCGGCTATAGGATATAGTCGTCCGATCCTTATGAAATTCGGTAGGTCGGATTAATTGGCCAAAAATAAAACTCATAGAAAATCCCAACTTCCTAACTTTAAAAACACCAAAGTTATGGCTTTTCCGATCGTTCAGTTATATGGTAGCTATATGATATAGTCGCCCGATCCGGCTCGTTCCGACTTATATACTACCTGCAATAGAAAGACAACTTTTGGGAAAGTTTCAAGCAGATAGCTTTAAAACTGAGGGACTAGTTTGCGTAGAAACGGACGGACGGACAGACGGACAGACGGACGGACAGACGGACAGACGGACATGGCTGGATCGACTCTCCTGGTGATGCTGATCAAGAATATATATACTTTATAGGGTCGGAAATGTCTCCTTCACTGCGTTGCAAACTTTTGACTGAAATTATAATACCCTCTGCAAGGGTATAAAAAAATACGCAAATTAATAGAAAATAAATATAGTCGTTTTATAGAACAATACAGTTGTGTTATATTTGCAAGGGAATACATACATATATAAGCTTTGACTTGGCGAAATTATCTCATTTTCTTTTTCGACTTTAAAGGTGATACTTGATGTTTAACACAAATAAGTGTTGACCAATAGTCGCCTAAAATGTTCTAGCATATTAATATTGTTTCGTAATTCTTATAATTTATTTATAAGACTATTGAAAAGTATTATAAGGTATATTTATTTACCTATTTTACAAAAATTTTCCAAAATCAACAATGTTATATTTGTAAGTATGACCGTATAGCATAATAATACCACAAAATGTAAATGATGACTTGAGCTGGCAAGAGGTTGAAGCTATTCACTTTTGTTTATCCCGACATTTCCTCAAAATATATCGAGCACAACAGATTTACAAAATTATTTATCCCGTAATTCAACCAAAATGGTATTTTACAGAGCATAAGTATGTTTAAGGCCACATTCGATCCTAAAGCCTAGTACTCAGATCAATGATAACTGTACGCCAGTCAAGAGAGAGAGCGAGAGGCAAGCAGCTGACTGAACTTTTGGTGAGCCCTAGCGCAAAGATTACAAAATTTAATGTTTTGGTGTGCGCTTTTCACTGAAAATTTCAATAAATGGAGGGAAAAAATCAAAAAACCCGTCAAAGTCGATTGCAGGAGTTTTCTTGTGAGGGTGGTAACCTTTCGGGGTGCCTCTTGTCGGAGCGAAGTGTTTCTTAAGTCAAAAATGTACGAAAAAACCAATAAAAAACTCGCCTGTTAGAACTAAGTGCAGCTATGAACTTTGAATAAGCAAATAATTATCAGTAAATTAAAAAAAAAAACTGTTATATTTAAAATGTATTGTTTTTTAATTTCTTTGTACAGCGGCAGACCTGCCAACGTAGTTGATAATATCTTTTAAAGGATCTTTCCAGCAAATACGATTTTTGAATTTTAGCTGCTTGTCAACAAATCCAGCTGATTGCCAGTACGACCGTAGCACGCTTCATTATGATGAACTCTCGAAAATGCAGTCACACTGGAAAGATTAAAGTTTTTACGCTAGCGTACTCGTTTTTCGATCTGAGTACTAAGCTTTACCTTCTAAATACACAAATATTGGAGACATTTCGGGAAACAGAATTTTGTATAATTTAATGTTCTATAATTGAAAATTTCATCATTGACGCGACTTTCCAGCCATACACAGGGATTTTTAGTATGCTTTTGTGTTTGTTCAAAACTCAAAATATAGAAGAAAAATGTTAAAGTAGCCCCTTAAGGAGTTTTGCGTGAAGTCGGTGATCGTATTTTCATGTTAGCTAAAAACGAGAACCATTGCGCAGGGATTGGAATGTGGGAATAAAGTATAACGATCCATATTTGCTAGCCACACTTTAGCAGTATAACCATATATTGATGACGATAGTAAAACGTTCAAAATTGCCCATCTCTAATTATAAATTGAGTTGGCAAAACATGTAAACTGCCCACTTAAATCTAATAGGCGGTCATGGCTGAGGAAACTGTTATTCTTATTTTATTAGTTTTGGTTATGCTCATTGGGTCATACTTGGCCGGGAGCATACCGATGTTGATGAAATTAAGTGAGGTTGGTAATTCTCAGGCATTTTAAAAAATAAATTAAATTCTTTAATATACATATATACAGTGGCTTACTTTTTTTCGACCAGCACCCATCCAAAACTTTAAAGCTGAACTAAACAGAACAAGCTGAACAAATTAAGCTAACAGCCCAGTTCAATGTCTTATTAAAGGTTTTAAAAATATTTTTTAATTAATCGAAAAAATATTAAAGATTCGACTTGGGGATCAAGTTCATGGCAGAAATGTCGGTCGATTGTTTTGGAAAAAAATTTTTGAGTCCACGATATATTAGTTAATACATTTGAAGATAATTTAATTAATAATTTAGGACCTTCCAATTATGCTTATTTTAGATTTTATCAAAGCATATACTTGACATAATGTTACCTTAGTTTATAACTTTTCCCATGATTCCGTCTCTGGACGGGCTGGTTGGTTTATGCTGTGAGCCACTGTACGTACTTTGGGATGAGCATTAATATTTTCTACCAAAAAATATCCATTTAAGGAAAAGCTAAAATGTGTCACTGTGCTTGGAGCTGGCTTATTAGTGGGTACTGCATTAGCCGTTATTATACCCGAAGGTATTCGTTCGCTCTATATGAGTAGTGGGCGCGAACAACTGACACCTGGCCCGGAGCTTCAAGATTACTCACAGACTATTGGACTTTCTCTTGTGCTTGGTTTTGTCTTCATGATGTTGGTGGACGTATCGCAACGAAAGAGCAATACTGGAGGTGACAAAAAAAATAGTGCCACACTTACTCTTGGATTGGTGGTTCATGCTGCTGGTAATATAATTTGTGGATTTCCTTTGAAATAGATGATTCTAAATTCTCTGCGCTTTGATTTTTGTTTGCAGCTGACGGAGTAGCTTTGGGAGCAGCAGCCACTACCAGTCATCAGGATGTCGAGATAATTGTATTTTTAGCTATAATGCTTCATAAGGCTCCCGCAGCATTTGGGTTAGTCACTTTCCTATTGCATGAGAAAGTTGACAGGCAGTCAATTCGGCGACATCTAGCCGTGTTTTCCTTATCAGCACCCCTTTTAACTATTCTGACATATTTTGGAATTGGCCAAGAACAAAAGGAAACGTTAAATTCAGTAAATGCCACAGGAATAGCTATGTTGTTTTCAGCCGGAACATTTTTGTACGTTGCCACAGTGCATGTTCTGCCAGAACTCACTCAGGGGGGAATTTCACAGATCGATCAGCATGATTATCGTTTATTAGAGGAATCTCGGGATATTGCTACGAATGACATAATTGCCGGCAACAGTATACAATCGTTAAAATATAGTGAATTGGTAATTATGATTTGTGGGGCGCTGCTGCCACTCATCATAACATTTGGACATAAGCATTAGGATAAGCATACCTACATTCCAGATAAAAAGTGTTAAAGTTAAGGGATAATATGCAATAAATTTTGTGTTTAAGCTGTAAAAAATTAATATAATAAAATAACATTTCATTGATACTTTAAAATGTGACGCGCATCTGCAACACTGTTGCGGACAATGTGTTTACAATTTTAAAATTAAATTGATAAAATTTTGTGTCGACCGATTAACTATGATAAATGTATTCAATTTGTGTACTTGTTATTATATATCAGGTCGTCAAATATCTAACTTCCGGTTTTTCTTTTTTTTGAATTTGGAGGCTTTGTGAAAAGCGCTACATATTTGGTTATTGCTTTGAAAAGTTATGTATGTGTAAACATGGAGTTCGATAACGCCGAAATTCGCGCTGTTTTAAAGTTTTCCTTCGTAAAAGGTAAATCCGCTAGAGAAACATTCCGTGAGATTAATGGTGTTTTAGGGGATGGTACTCTATCACTTCGAACCGCGGAGGAATGGTTTCGACGATTCAGAGCCGGTGAAAAAGCCATCCGGCGGAAGTCCTGTGACTACGAATACTGATCAAATCATGGAAAACATCAAGCTAGATCGGCATGTGACATCCCGTGACATCGCCGAGGAGATAGGAGTTAGTCACTAAACCGTTTTAAACCATCTGCTGAAGGCTGGATACAAAAAAAAAGTTTGATGCTTGGGTGCCGCATGATTTGACGCAAAAAAACCTTTTGGACAGAATCAACGCCTGCGATATGCTTCTGAAACTGAATGAACTCGTCCCATTTTGAAGCGGATGGTGACTGGCGACGAAAAATGGATCACACACGACAATATCAAGCGAAAACGGCCGTGGTTGGTTCCAAAAGGAAAGTTTTGCTCTGTGTTTGGTGGGATTGGAAGGGAATCATACACTATGAGCTGCTCCCATATGGCCAGACGCTTAATTCTACCATCTTCCACATGTTCCTGTCCGTTGCGAATGCCCTTACTGGTGTAAAGTTGGGTTCAAAAGAGAGTTGTGAAAAGTGGCTGTCAAAGTTTTTCGCAAATAAATAAAGAACAAAATCTCGAAATCTGCAAGAGCATTTTAAGTTTTCTGTAGATTGGATTACGCGATTGTTAATCAACAAAAAACTGCCCTCTTTTTAGGTGAAATTTTGACTGTTTTCTTCAAACCTTCGCCAAATTCACAAGAATCAATATTTTTAAAAATCCTTACGTGTTTCTCTAGCTATACTTATGTAGATCAAGAGGATTATTTTTTTTGCAGGTTCAAATTTACAGCACTTTCCACGAAACACGTCTCAGGGCGCCAGCCATATCGCCGCCATTTTGAATTTTTTTTATAAAAAAAATTATTTTGTACTATCATACATGATTAACAACATCCCCAAGTTTCATTCACTTACTCCCCCTCCTTCTGGTCTAAAAAAAATCGCAAACAAACGCTGAAAAAACAAGGGTGACAGTGGTGTAACCCCTTAAGCAGCGCACTTTAAGGACCTTAAGTCGTCCAGTTGTTGGGCGGAATATGTTAAAACCGCACAAAAAAAACTTAATCGTTCGATATCTATAGACACACCAAAAAGTTTCCACAATCACAGTCACCAAGTAATATGCTGCTAACTTTCAAGCACGATGGCGGGGGTGTATCTATAAAAATGGAGTTGGTCCCACGGTATTAATCGATGGAATAATGCAAAAGGAACAATATTTGAGAATTTTATAAGAAAATCTACCAAAGTCTTCTGGAATACGGGTCTTTTTGTTGAAAAAGGCATTTTTCGGCAAGACAATGACCCAAGCATATGTCTCATTTGGTCAAAAATTGGGTTTTAAATAAAAAATTTCAGGCCACGAAGTCACCACAATCTTCGGGTATGAATCCAATTGAAAATTTATGGAGTCGTGTGAAATCGCAATTGGGGAAATATGCAGTTCCTCCATGTGGAATGATGGAGCTGTGGGAGAGGACAAAGGACGTATGATATGCTATTCCCCACGAATTGATGTAACGCTACACCCAAAGTATGCCAAATCGCATAGGAGAACTTTAAAATTTAAAAGGGCTGTGACTTCATTTTTTAAAAATTGTTAATAAAAATATTTGTTTATAATATAACTGCGGTGCAAAAATCTAACATTTGACTATTTTTACAGTTTGCTCTAGCATTTGATACCCTTGCAGAGGGTATTATAATTTTAGACAAAAGTTTGCAACGCAGTGAAGGACACTGTCTTGCGTCATATGGAGTTGCCTTTAACAACTACCCCACACGCGTAGGTCCGAAGAGAGGGTGACTTCAGGGGCGGCGTGCGCCGTGTAGGTTGCGTTTTATTCTGTTAATAATTCAAATCAGACTCATACATTTCAAACTAACTTAAGCTTACCGCAGTGTGCCCTCCTACAATTCACAAGACAATGAGAAGTACAATTTGTGGCGGCATCCATGTTACCGAGATTAGTAAGCCCACATTTCAAGGGCCACAAAATCCATACAAGTTCGGATAAATTAACAAATACTAGATTTCTCTTATAATACTTATTCTACCTATCGATCACAATGTTTGACCGTCGACATCCCCGACCTCGTGAAGAACCGCTTCACTCAAATCCAAAAGCGCGAGCTTTGAGACGGGTCGCAACATTGTCCGAGATAGGCCATTGTCGTTCACGCGCACTGTAGCGCGTCTGACGACTCCATCAGCTCCGCTGTATATCTCCTCCACGATGCCCTTGCGCCACTCTCGTCTGGGCAAGGCAGGATCGCAGACGAAGACCATATCGCCCTGGCGGATGGGCTCCGTTCTCCGGGACCACTTCTCGCGGCGCACAAGCGTAGGAAGGTACTCCAGGACCCACCTCCTCCAGAAACGGTCTCGCAGCATGCGGGCAATCCTCCACTGCTTTCGTGTAGAACCCTCCTTGGGTAGCTCCGCATCCAATCCAGGCGTATTCGGCACATTAGCTGCTCCCTTGAGCAGGTCGTTTGGCGTCAACGGCGCCTCTTGGTCCGCATCCACCGGCAAGTGGGTGAGCGGGCGCGAGTTGACCACATTCTCCTTCTCGATCAGTAAATTTTCCAACACATGATCTCTCGGCGCGACTTCCTTCAGGGTGTGGCGCAGCACTCGCTTGACGCAATGCACCATCCGCTCCCATACTCCGCCCGCAGACGGGTTCGATGGGCAATTGAAAACCCATTCAATGCTTCTGCTGGACAACTCACTCTGTATCCTCTCCGTCTCGAACACGTCTCCAAATCGTCTGGCCTCCCTGTCAGCTCCCACAAAGTTCTTGCCGTTATCACTCCGCAGTCTCTGTACTGGTCCTCTACGGCAGACGAAGTTCCTGATCGCTATTATGCAGGAATCCGTCGACAGGTCATGCGCCAACTCCAGATGAATCGCCCTTGTCGTCAGGCACGTAAACAAGGCGACCCAACGCTTCTCTCTGTGACGAGATACAGTCACCAGCAGTGGTCCAAAGTAGTCCAATCCGGTGTACTTGAATGGCCAACCCCCCGCTTCCAATCGATCCTCTGGAAGGGGTCCCATTATCGGCGGCATCGGCCGCGTTCGCTGCAACTTGCACTCGTTGCACGACGAGATTACTTCCTTCATCACTCGTCTCATCTTTGTTACGCAGAATCTCGTCCGGATCTGAGCAATTGTCGCATCCACATTTTGATGCTTCATCTGGGCGTGAAAATGCCTCACAATCAATTCCGTAAGACTGTGCTTGTGTGACAGTATTACGGGCCTCCTCGCGCTGTACGGCATGCACAGCGCGGCATCAACTCTGCCATAAGTTCGCAGAACTCCGTGTTCATCCACTTAAGGCGCCAGACGTCGAATCTCACTCGAGCTGGCGACGTTCTTTCCGCATTCCGCCGACCTCATCTCGTCGGGGAACGACTCCAATTGGGCCTGTCTGACTAAGGTTCTCCGCGGCCTCACACTCCGTTGCAGTGAGTCCGTACTCCTCGAGCTCGCTTCTCTGTTTGCGGCACCAGCGCGCAAACCTTAAGACCCAGGCTGTGGTCCTCACCAGGCGACTGAAGCTCGAGTATCTCTGAAACGGAATGACAAATTCAATTGACATTTGTGGCCACCAATGCAAACTCACTGGGCATCTCCTCTTCATCAGGCGCATCAGGCGTCGGCCAGCCGCTCTCAGGCTGCCTCAAAAATGCGGGTCCCCTTAGCCACCGTGATTCCGGGCTAAGGTCCGCCTTATTCTGCGACCGCGTCGCATCATCCGCTGCATTGTCAGCTGTAGGTACCCATCGCCACTGGGAAACCTTCGACGACTCCAAAATCTCCGCCACTCGGTTGCCAACAAACTGCTTATACCGGTGGTGGGTGCTGCCGATCCATCTCAGCACCGTTTTTGAGTCCGTCCATAACACCGTCTCGCTGGTGTACACACTGTGCTCCTCCTTGACAGTGTTCATCAGTCTGGTTCCAAGAACCGATGCCTGCAGCTCTAGCCTTGAGATCGACATCGTTCTCATGGGCGCGCACTTCGTCTTTGCGCACACGAAGCTAACCAGCACGTTTTCATCCTCGTACGTGACCCTCCAATAGGCCACCGCCGCGAATGCAGATTGACTTGCATCCACGAACACGTGCAACTCGATGGTCCGAACCGCTCCATGACCAAAATATTGGCGAGGACATCGGAAGTGTCCCACAGGCTCAAATACTCCCTCTTTGTAGGGACTCGATCTCCACTTAGAACGCTACTTGGCACTCGGTGATACTCCACGTTGAACCTGAAGTCGTCCGTGGCTACCTGCCATCGCATTCCAAGGATCTTCTGCTCAGTCTCACCCCATCCGACGCTCTTGACTCGTCCAGGTGGTCCCAACGCCCAATCCAGCCTCCGCATGTATCTCTTTCACTCGGGTAGATACACTGATAGCTTCGCTCTCTGTAGCGAAACTGTCCACATAGTCGTCGACATAGTGGTGGTCGATGATGGCCTTAAATGCCCTCGGGTCTGAATCCCGAAACTTCAGGGCATTCACCGTCTTCACGTAATGCGCAGCGCTCGGCGAGCAGGCTGCTCCATACGTCATTACGTTCATCTCGTACACATCCGGGTCTCGATCGTCATTGCCATCTCTCCAAAGGAATCGTTGGGAACATCGATCCTCGGGTCGGATCAGCACTTGGTGGAACATCTCCTTGATGTCACCGCAGACTCCGACTGCTCCTTCCCTGAAGTGGAAGAGCACGGCTGGCAAGGGCTTGTAACGCTGAGGCCCCTTGTCCAGGGCCGAATTTAGAGAGGTTCCTCCAACCTTGGCTGCAGCATCGCACACAAGCCGGACCTTACCGGGCTTGTTCGGGTTTTCGACACCAAAATGTGGCAAATACCATAGCCGGTCGCTCGTCTCCGCGACCTCATCATGCTGCAGCTTCCTCGCATACGTAATCCTTGATGATCCGATCGTATTCCAGCGCCAACTGCCTGTTGCGCTTCAACTAAGTGGCAATCCTAAATGTCCATTATCCAGTCCGATGAGCAACTTGGGCGCCACATTGGTATAGGGCTTCATCAGCAGCCGCGCATCCTTATGCACGCCTTGGACATCTCGTCGGCCTAACGTCTGCATCGGCAGACTCAGGCTGGAAACGGATTACACGTTCCTCCAAACTCACCACGTTACTGGGCTCTCTTCTGGCCCTTCCTCCGAACCATTGAATGTTTAGCTGTCTACGCTCGCCTCGCACTCCCAGATCCCAGCTCGTCATCGATCATCGTGACGGAGGATCCCTCATCCAAGAGCGCGTATGTGTCCACCTGGCGACCAGCTCCATACAGCGTTACTGGCAGTATACGGAACAGAAGTCGGCCTCCCTCGGCGTCAACGCCTCCGCTGGCTGCGGGGCCCTTCTCTCCAGGCTGTTTCTAGGGACAGCCGACTGCTGGCTCCCTTCGTGGTTCCTGTAACCACCTCGTGGCGAAGATCTGGAAACTGCTGACTGCTGGTTTCCTCCGTTGTGGCGCCTAAAGCCACCTCGCGCCGGCCATCTTCGCTCCTCGTCCGCGCCATGTAGCAGACGGTGATGCAATCTACAACATCCGTTGACCTGGCACTCGCCATATGCATCGCAGGATCTGGTCGTATGTCCACTCCGTAAGCATGTGAAGCAGAGCTGATAACTGCTCACCATGCTTCACCTGTCTGGTGGCGAAGCTCCAATGAACTCCCTGCAGCTCGTCGCACCATGTTGCCCTCCACAAATTGGACAACCTCCATGCCGATCATCCTGTTGATCGCATCCGTTATGGTCGACGCTCGCATGCAGAACTCGACGCCTCGGCTCCTTTCCCTAGACGTCCAAAACCGTACACACGACGTTTGCGTACTCCTGTAGCCAAGCGCTGAAGTGCGCTACAGTGGGAAAGGGCTCGATCGATGCAGCGTGCCTGGCCCAGTCCACTCGCTTGCTCGTAGGAAGCTTTGCCACAAGCTCCTCCATTAGCGTTGGGTTCCACAGGCGCTGCTCCGCCTTCGCTGACTGCAAGAAGGCCGTGAGGTTACTCACTCGGGTTGCGAAGTGAACGATCCTCGCCAGGTGCTGCTCCGAAATCGGCGGCACCTCTCGCACACTGTTCAGCTGGCTGCGTATAAGCTGCTCCGGTCGGCCAAATCTAAAGCGCAGCTGCTCCATCACGGCGCTGACGTTCCCAGGGTGAATCAGCAGCGACTTCACTGTCTCGCGTGCTTCATCCTTCAGCGCCTTCAACAACCTCTGGTTGTTCTCCAAGTCTGTGCAGTTGTATGCTTGGGTCGTCTCCACAAACGCACAATTAAAAATCGGCCACTCCTCGGGCTGCCCTCCAAATACAGGCAGGTCCGGAAGCCTCCTTGGCCCATACGATCCTTGGATTCCATTCGGCGTCCACCGAGGCGTAGGATCCGACAAATGGCGATGCTGTTGCCACGTTGTGGATGCTCCCGCCCGGTGGCACGAATCCATGCGCTGTCTGCGCAACACTTGTAGCACACAGTGGCTTTACATGATGACTGCTAGTCGTTAGCAATGGCGGTCCATTCCAAGATGGCGGCAGCGTGCAGGCCGCACTGCTCGCACCGACACCGCTATGTGGGACCGGCCCGACCCCGTTAGTTCAGGCCTAACCGTTAGATGTGGCTAGTGGCGGCCCGCTCCAAGATGGCGGCCGCCCCGACGCTCCACTGTTGGCGCCGTCTGCGCTTGGGCCAACTGCGATTGGCGCGCAATTGGCGGTGCTCGTACTGCTCAGGGTTCTAACCTGCTTCAGCTCCTCCTCCAACGCTGCGATCCTTTTTAGAAGGTCCGACGTGAGGGCTCATCTCCGCAGCTGTGACAGCAGTGCCTCCGGGTTGGGACGCGACTGTAGTCACCGTAGGGGCTGGGCTCGAAATGGCCGCCGCCGAGGTTATTTTCACTTGCGGCCGGTTTTCTGATCCACTACTCACTGGCTGCTGATCCGCTCGCGCTGCTGTAGGGGTGGCTTCCCCTCCTTTCAGCCGCGTACTCCTCTTGGGGGAATGCTGCATCCCAAAAGGTCCAAAAATGGCGCTGTATCCGCGCTCTCCAAAATGGCGGCACCTATGCCTTCTGGCCGCTGCCTGCGGCCGCCGATGCTTGGCGCTCCTTGCGCCTTCTGACCGCTGCCTGCGGTCTCCTTACTGACGCTGTCTGCGTCTCCTTGTCGCTGTCTGCGACTCCGTCCGTACCCAGTGTTCGGCGCTGTCTGCGCTCCTCTATGTCGCTGTCTGCGACTCCTCTACTGGTACGGGAAATGCTCCTGGCAACTCTCTAGCTGGTCGTCATACCGTCCTCCAGCGGAAGTTGCCCATGCAGTCTCCCTAGGACTGCGAATAAAAGGAGTTGTCTTGCGTCATATGGAGTTGCCTTTACCAACTACCCCACACGCGTAGGTCCGAAGAGAGGGTGACTTCAGGGGCGGCGTGCGCCGTGTAGGTTGCGTTTTATTCTGTTAATAATTCAAATCAGACTCATACATTTCAAACTAACTTAAGCTTACCGCAGTGTGCCCTCCTACAATTCACAAGACAATGAGAAGCACAATTTGTGGCGGCATCCATGATACAATAACATAAGGTAGTCTCGTCGGCTGTCTAAACGTTCGGGTTTTGGTCAGTGCGTGTTCGTCTTTCGAAGGGAAAGGTTGTCTGCGGACGAATTTTTTAGGAAATTAACCCTTGAGCAACATGACATTTTGCAATGTGTGCCGCAAACACGTCGATGGCGTAAAGGCACCGAAATGTTTGGAAAAAAGAGCGCTGTGGGAGGAATCGTTGTGATACTTTTAAAATAACAAAGAATGTAAACGAAACTTTAATAATCGCAGCCGAAAATATTAGTATAAGTTTTTATGTCTAAACTTATACTAACATTTTCGGCTGCGATTATTAAAGGTTCGTTTACATTCTTTGTTATTTTAAGATTAGAATATATTTTAGAATTAAGAATCTTAACAAAAGACTCAGTATTCAGAGACAAAAACAACGCCTAATTTCAAATTCAAAATTATTAAAAATTAAATTATAAAAAAAAATTAAACTCCTTTTATTATGAAAGGCAAAAAAAGCCCCTGAACCATCTAAGGGTTAATCCACACATTCTATTGTCGCTCTGCTCGCACTTACTAAACAGTTCCCATCTCACTCGCACTCATTATACCCGTTACTCGTAGAGTAAAAGGGTATATTGTATTCGTGCAAAAGTATGTAACAGCTAGAAGGAAGCGTTTCCGACCCTATAAAGTATATATATTCTTGATCAGGGTCACTAGCCGAGTCGATATAGCCATGTCCGTCTGTCCGTCTGTCTGTCCGTCTGTCTGTCCGTCTGTCTGTCCGTCTGTCTGTCCGTCTGTCTGTCCGTCCGTATGAACGCTGAGATCTCGGAAACTATAAAAGCTAGAAGATTGGCATTTTGTATGCAGATTCTAGGAGTTCCTACGCAGCGCAAGTTTGTTTCAAAAAGGTGTCACGCCCCCTTAAACGCCCACAATCGCTAATATACGATTTTAAAAATTTAAATATTTCGGAAAAGTAAAAATGCAGTTTTATTGTGTTTATCAATACCTATCGAAATGTAGAAGAAATTTTTCAAATCGGACCATTCGTTAAAAAGTTATGCGTGATCAAAGTTTCTATCTCCATCTCCCTCGCACTCCTTATACCTGAGTAACGGGTATCTGATAGTCGGGGCACCCGACTATATCGTTCTCTCTTGTTTTTATAATAGTAGGGTACCAAAATTTTGCCGACGAGACTACCTTATCTTATTGTATCATGGCGGCATCCATGTTACCGAGATTAGTAAGGCCACATTTCAAGGGCCACGAAATCCATACAAGTTCGGATAAATTAACAAATACTAGATTTCTCTTACAATACTTATTCTACCTATCGATCACAATGTTTGACCGTCGACAATACCAAATCCCAAAGAACAAACAAAAAATTAAAAACAACAATGTTATAATTTTTGAACGGCAGACGGACATGTCTAGATCGATCAAGACTATATACACTATAGGATCGGAAATGTGTCTGTCGACGGTCAAACATTGTGATCGATAGGTAGAATAAGTATTGTAAGAGAAATCTAGTATTTGTTAATTTATCCGAACTTGTATGGATTTCGTGGCCCTTGAAATGTGGGCTTACTAATCTCGGTAACATGGATGCCGCCACAAATTGTGCTTCTCATTGTCTTGTGAATTGTAGGAGGGCACACTGCGGTAAGCTTAAGTTAGTTTGAAATGTATAAGTCTGATTTGAATTGTTAACAGAATAAAACGCGCGCAACCTACACGGCGCAAGCCGCCCCTGAAGTCACCCTCTCTTCGGACCTACGCGTGTGGGGTAGCCGTTAAAAAGGCAACTCCGTATGATGCAAGACAACTCCTTTTATTCGCAGTCCTAGGGAGACTGCAAGTGCAACTTGCGCTGGAGGACGGTATGACGCCCAGCTAGAGAGTTGCCAGGAGCAATACCCGTACCAGTAGAGGAGTCGCAGGCAGCGACATAGAGGAGCGCAGACAGCGCCGAACACTGGTTACGGAGGGACGCAGACAGCGTCAGTTACGGGCAATACCCGTACCAGTACAGGAGTCGCAGGCAGCGACATAGAGCAGCGCAGACAGCGCCGAACACTGGTTACGGAGGGACGCAGACAGCGTCAGTTACGGAGTCGCAGACAGCGACAAGGAGACGCAGACAGCGTCAGTGAAGGAGACCGCAGGCAGCGGTCAGGAGGCGCAAGGAGCGCCAAGCAACGGCAGCCGCAGGCAGCGGCCAGAAGGCATAGGTGCCGCCATTTTGGAGTGCGCCGAGGAGCGCCATATTTGGACCTTGGGATGCAGCATTGCCCCAAGAGGAGTACGCGGCTGAAAGGAGGGGATTCCACCCCTACAGCAACGCGAACGGATCAGCAGCCAGTGAGTAGTGGAGCAGAAAACCGGCCGCGAGTGAAAATAACCTCGTCGGCGGCCATTTCGTGCCCAGCCACTACGGTGACTACAGTCGCGTCCCAACCCGGAGGCACTGCTGCCACAGCTGCGGAGATGAGCCAGTCCCTCACGTCGGACCTTCTGAAAAGGATCGCGGCGTTGGAGGAGGAGCTGAAGCAGGTTAGAACCCTGAGCGGTACGAGCACCGCCAAGTGCGCGCCAATCGCAGTTGACCCAAGCGCAGACGGCGTCGACAGTGGAGCGTCGGGGCGGCCGCCATCTTGAAGCGGGCCGCCATTAGCCACATGTAACGGTGAGGCCTCAACTAACGCGGTCGGGCCGGTCCCACATAGCGGTGTCGGTGCGAGCAGTGCGGCCTGCACGCAGCCGCCATCTTGGAGTGGACCGCCATTGCTAACGACTAGCAGTCATCATGTGGAGCCACTGTGTGCTACAAGTGTTGCGCAGACAGCGCATGGATTTGTGCTACCGGGCGGGAGCATCCACAACGTGGCAACAGCATCGCCAGTTGTCGGATCCTACGCCTCGATGACGCCGAATGGAATCCAAGGATCGTATGGGCCAAGGAGGCTTCCGGACCTGCCTGTATTTGGAGGGCAGCCCGAGGAGTGGCCGATTTTTAATTGTGCGTTTGTGGAGACGACCCAAGCATACAACTGCACAGACTTGGAGAACAACCAGAGGTTGTTGAAGGCGCTGAAGGATGAAGCACGCGAGACAGTGAAGTCGCTGCTGATTCACCCTGGGAACGTCAGCGCCGTGATGGAGCAGCTGCGTTTTAGGTTTGGCCGACCGGAGCAGCTTATACGCAGCCAGCTGAACAGTGTGCGAGAGGTGCCGCCGATTTCGGAGCAGCACCTGGCGAGGATCGTTCCCTTCGCAACCCGAGTGAGTAACCTCACGGCCTTCTTGCAGTCAGCGAAGGCGGAGCAGCGCCTGTGGAACCCAACGCTAATGGAGGAGCTTGTGGCAAAGCTACCTACGAGCAAGCGAGTGGACTGGGCCAGGCACGCTGCATCGATCGAGCCCTTCCCTACTGTAGGGCACTTCAGCGCGTGGCTACAGGAGTACGCAAACGTTGTGTGTACGGTTTTGGACGTCGAGGGAAAGGAGCCGAGGCGTAGAGTTCTGCATGCGAGCGTCGACCAGAACGGATGCGATCAACAGGATGATCGGCATGGAAGTTGTCCAATTTGTGGAGGGCAACACGGTGCGACGAGCTGCAGGGAGTTTATTGGAGCTTCGCCACCAGACAGGTGGAGCATGGTGAGGAGGCATTGGCTCTGCTTCACATGCTTACGAAGTGGACATACGACCAGATCCTGCGATGCATATGGCGAGTGCCAGGTCAACGGATGTCGTAAATTGCATCACCGTCTGCTACATGGCGCGGACGAGGAGCGAAGATGGCCGGCGAGAGGTGGCTTTAGGCGCCACAACGGAGGAAACCAGCAGTCAGCAGTTTCCCGACGCGGCCCGGATATGAGATCTTCGCCACGAGGTGGTTACAGGGACCACGAGGGGAGCCTGCAGTCGGCTGCCCCTAGAAACAGCCTGGAGAGAAGGGCCCCGCAGCCAGCGGAGGTGCCCGTGCAGAGGAATTTAAGCTGCGTTGACGCCGAGGGAGGCCGACTTCTGTTCCGTATACTGCCAGTAACGCTGTACGGAGCTGGTCGCCAGGTGGACACATACGCGCTCTTGGACGAGGGATCCTCCGTCACGATGATCGATGACGAGCTACGGAGGGATCTGGGAGTGCGAGGCGAGCGTCGACAGCTGAACATTCAATGGTTCGGAGGAAGGGCCAGTAGAGAGCCCAGTAACGTGGTGAGTCTGGAGATAAGTGGAGCTGGGAAGCCCACTCGCCACGCTTTGAGGAATGTGTACTCCGTTTCCAGCCTGAGTCTGCCGATGCAGACGTTAGGCCGACGAGATGTCCAAGGCGTGCATAAGGATGCGCGTCTGCCGATGAAGCCCTATACCAATGTGGTGCCCAAGTTGCTCATCGGACTGGATAATGGACATTTAGGATTGCCACTTAGGACGAGGCGGTTTGCCAGAGAGGGACCGTATGCGGCCGCAACCGAGCTTGGATGGGTTGTTTTTGGGCCAGTAAGTGGACAATCGACTACGCCGTCACCGAGGTCCTGCCTACTTGCCGTGTCAATGGACGACACGATGGAACAGATGGTGAAGGACTACTTCGAGATGGAAAGCTTTGGTGTGAAGCTCGCGCAACAGGTCGCAGGCAGCGATGACGCGCGGGCACAAAGGATCCTCGAAGACACCACGGTGAAAGTAGGGCGTCGCTACCAGACGGGATTACTCTGGAAGGACGACTACGCTGTGCTGCCACGGAGCTATGAGATGGCGCACAGACGGCTGATCAACGTAGAGAAGAAGTTGAAGCGCAACAGGCAGTTGGCGATGGAATATGATCGCATCATCAGGGATTACGTAGCCAAAGGATATGCGAGGAAGCTGCAGCATGATGAGGTCGCGGTGACGAGCGACCGGCTATGGTATTTGCCACATTTTGGTGTCGAAAACCCGAACAAGCCCGGTAAGGTCCGGCTTGTGTTCGATGCTGCAGCCAAGGTTGGAGGAACCTCTCTAAATTCGGTGCTGGACAAGGGGCCTCAGCATTACAAGCCCTTGCCAGCCGTGCTCTTCCACTTCAGGGAAGGAGCAGTCGGAGTCTGCGGTGACATCAAGGAGATGTTCCACCAGGTGCTGATCCGACCCGAGGACCGATGTTCCCAACGATTCCTTTGGAGAGATGGTGACGACGATAGAGACCCGGATGTGTACGAGATGAACGTAATGACGTTTGGAGCAGCCTGCTCCCCGAGCGCTGCGCATTACGTGAAGACGGTAAATGCCCTGAAGTTTCGGGATTCAGATCCGAGGGCAGTTAAGGCCATCATCGACCACCATTACGTCGATGACTATGTGGACAGTTTCGCTACAGAGAGCGAAGCTATCAGTGTATCTACCCGAGTGAAAGAGATACATGCGGAGGCTGGATTCGAGTTATGCCAGTTTTCATCCAGCTCACCCATCGTGGAAGCGGCGTTGGGACCACCTGGACGAGTCAAGAACGTCGGATGGGGTGAGGCTGAGCAGAAGATCCTTGGAATGCGATGGCAGGTAGCCACGGATGACTTCAGGTTCAACGTGGAGTATCATCGAGTGCCAAGTAGCGTTCTAAGTGGAGATCGAGTCTCTACAAAGAGGGAGTATTTGAGCCTGCTGATGTCAACGTTCGACCCATTGGGATTCCTGTGCTGCCTGATGATTACAGCGAAGCTGCTGTTGAGAGAGATCTGGAGGCAGAAGATCCAGTGGGACGAACCACTACCAGAGGAGATAGGCAAAGCCTTTGCAGCCTGGCGCAGGGAGATGGACGCCGTGGGACAGTTCCGATGTCCACGCCAATATTTTGGTCATGGAGCGGTTCGGACTATCGAGTTGCACGTGTTCGTGGATGCAAGTCAATCTGCATTCGCGGCGGTGGCCTATTGGAGTGCCACGTACGAGGATGGAAACGTGCTGGTTAGCTTCGTGTGCGCAAAGACGAAGTGCGCACCCATGAGGACAATGTCGATCCCGAGGCTAGAGCTGCAGGCAGCGGTTCTTGGAACCAGACTGATGAACACTGTCAAGGAGGAGCACAGTGTGGACACCAGCGAGACGGTGTTATGGACGGACTCAAAAACGGTGCTGAGATGGATCGGCAGCACCCACCACCGGTATAAGCAGTTTGTTGGCAACCGAGTGGCGGAGATTTTGGAGTCGTCGAAGGTTTCCCAGTGGAGATGGGTACCTACAGCTGACAACGCAGCGGATGATGCGACCCGGTCGCAGAATAAGGCGGACCCGGAATCGCGGTGGCTAAGGGGACCCGCATTTTTGAGGCAGCCTGAGAGCGGCTGGCCGGCGCCTGAGGAAGGAACTAAGCGTGTTCCAGATGCGCCTGATGAAGAGGAGATGCCCAGTGAGTTTGCATTGGTGGCCACAAATGAATTTGTCATTCCGTTTCAGAGATACTCGAGCTTCAGTCGCCTGGTGAGGACCACAGCCTGGGTCTTAAGGTTTGCGCGCTGGTGCCGCAAGCAGAGAAGCGAGCTCGAGGAGTACGGACTCACTGCAAAGGAGTGTGAGAACGCGGAGAACCTGGTAGTCAGACAGGCCCAATTGGAGTCGTTCCCCGACGAGATGAGGTCGGCGGAATGCGGAAAGAACGTCGCCAGCTCGAGTGAGATTCGAGGTCTGGCGCCCTACGTGGATGAACATGGAGTTCTGCGGACTTATGGCAGAGTTGATGCCGCGCTGTGCATGCCGTACAGTGCGAGGAGGCCCATGAAGCATCAAAATGTGGATGCGGCGATTGCTCAGATCTGGAGGAGATTCTGGGTAACGAAGATGAGACGAGTGCTGAAGGAAGTAATCTCGTCGTGCAACGAGTGCAAGTTGCAGCGAACGCGGCCGATGCCGCCGATAATGGGACCCCTTCCAGAGGATCGATTGGAAGCGGGGTTTGGCCATTCAAATACGCCTGGATTGGATGCGGAGCTACCCAAGGAGGGTTCTACACGAAAGCAGTGGAGGATTGCCCGCATGCTGCGAGACCGTTTCTGGAGGAGGTGCTGGAGTACCTGCCTACGCTTGTGCGCCGCGAGAAGTGGTGCCGAAGAACGGAGCCCATCCGCCAGGGCGATATGGTCTTCCTCTGCGATCCAGCCTTGCCCAGACGAGAGTGGCGCAAGGGCATCGTGGAGGAGATATACAGCGGAGCTGATGGAGTCGTCAGACGCGCTACAGTGCGCGTGAACGACAATGGCCTATCTCGGACAATGTTGCGGCCCGTCTCAAAACTTGCGGTTTTGGATTTGAGTGAAGCGGTTCTTCACGGGGTCGGGGATGTCGACGGTCAAACATTGTGATCGATAGGTAGAATAAGTATTGTAAGAGAAATCTAGTATTTGTTTATTTATCCGAACTTGTATGGATTTCGTGGCCCTTGAAATGTGGGCTTACTAATCTCGGTAACATGGATGCCGCCACAAATTGTGCTTCTCATTGTCTTGTGAATTGTAGGAGGGCACACTGCGGTAAGCTTAAGTTAGTTTGAAATGTATAAGTCTGATTTGAATTGTTAACAGAATAAAACGCGCGCAACCTACACGGCGCAAGCCGCCCCTGAAGTCACCCTCTCTTCGGACCTACGCGTGTGGGGTAGCCGTTAAAAAGGCAACTCCGTATGATGCAAGACAGGTATTATTTAAGTTCAACGGAATTAAGAATTAAGATCGTACATCTATATCATATAGCTCCCATATGAAAAAGAAATAAAAAAAATACGATGAAAACAATTTTTTATTTTGCTGTTTTTCTGTGTATCAAAATATTCTTTTGAGATATAGCAATTATTTACTATATTAGTTTTGTCAAAATCGGACAGCAATATCATATAGCTGGCATAGAAACGATATCAGAATTACGCTTTTAGTTTTGTCAAAATCGGACAACAATATCATATAGCTGCCATAGAAACGATGGCAAAATGGCGCGCAAAATCGACATAGATTCTTTGTTTTTAGTAATATAGGCATAGAATTCGAAATGTCGTTTTGTAATAACTGCAAGGGTTTTATATACCGGCTTGGCAAAGTTTGCTTCCTTTCTTATTTACTCCCAATATTAAAATTTTCTAGAAAGGTTGTGTATGAACATACCAACAAAACAAGACTAAGATTTCTAGCGTGCATAAATTAGAACAGAAGATACAGAAGTTACAGTATAGAACTCGTGTTACAGTTTTGCTCGTCAGGCAAGGCAAGGGTAACGATTTTTGGGTCGTTCATGTACTGAGCTGAATTTTAATGCCTGTAACTGACTGACTTTTATCGCTAAACGCGATGAGTAGGCAGTTCGAAATTTTTCTCACATGGGCCCGGGACATGGGAATACATTTGGTATGAACATGGTAGACGAGTTGTCCAAAGAACCTTGGGAGATCCCACACCTTTAAGTGTCTTTAACAACTTTCCGTTCGCTTCGCGAGTGCATCGTGATTAACTTGTGTTTAGAAAATAAAACTTTTAAACATTATTTCAGCGCTGGTTTGTTGTTATTGTTTTTCTCTTGCCTCCCTTTTAAGCATTTCTCCTACCCAACGACGTGTTGTTGGAACGGCACGCACTTTCGTTCTATCTCGTTTCGAGGTGCCCAACATCAAAGTTAATGGGTATTTTGCTCCCGCTCTTTCGCTCTCCTTTCTTTCTTATCAAAAAGTTCTTGAGCGGTTTTGATTTTTGTCCGCTATAGTTGTACTGAGTTATAATGGCTTTCTGCTCATTAAAAAATTGCAAGAAAGTTATCTCGGCTGGACAGCAGAGTATTCCCTGCCATACATGTAATAACATTTATCATGCAAAGTGTCTTGGCTATTCTGGCCTGGTTCGCAATAAGAGGAGTGGCCTACGCTTCTACTGCGATGAGTGCATCGTATATGAGAACCAGGCAATATCTATTAGGCGGCTCACAAAAAGCAGTGTTACGGAATTGCCGTAAAAATATGGACCTGCTTGTGGCGCTTGAATCTCAGCTCACTCGTCGCATGCTAGCTGAGCCCGATTCTGGGCATTCTATGGCAGGTGCCGTGCAAACTGCTGCCCGCGATTCGCTTCTAGCTCAGCTGCCAGTCTTAGGTGCCACTTAAATGGTACTAAGATCGGGGGCAAAATGTGATTCGGTACCCGAAGTTGCTGGTCCCGATGTGGCGCCGCTCTGTCCAATTAAAATAAAGAAGTGGCCCCAACACCTCATGTTGACTTGAGGTCCGATTACCGGCCGATACTGGTAGTGAAGATAGAAATTCTGAATTACCAAAAAGGTAGCATGTGTGGTACCAAAAACGGTAACTTGTGTTATGTATTTGTTTCACGGCTCGCCCCAGACCTCTCATCACTGGATATTACGGCTTATATCCGTAACAAAATAAAAGTTGATGATTTGAAGGTTGAACAATTTAAATTTTCTTATGCTAGGAAAGTATCATCATTTAAGATTGGTATTCCTTGTGCTCATTTTGCATCTGTGTGTTCCGCCAGTTTCTGGTCCGAGGACATATTTGTAAAAGAGTACGAAGCTAAGAGAAAAAGGGGATATGGAAAATACCATTAATGAACCATCACCAGCGCCCTCTGCTTCCTCTTCTGCTCCAAAAAACTAGCCTTCTTCTTTCCTATCAGAATACAAGGGGCTTACTAAGTAAGCTGACTAAATTGCACTCGGATAATTTTTCCTTCCCTTATAATATTATTGTATGTACAGAAACTCCGAAATTTTCCCGGTTAAGTACATAATTTACAAAGGATGGTCGTCAGTCCAGACAGGGAGGTGGAGTCTTGATTGCTGCCGACACAACCCTTTCGTCTGAACTACTAACTTTTGAAGAATTTAATGATATCGAATTCCTAGGTATGAATAATAATAATATAATAATAATAATATAATATTTTATAAATCATTAAACTCCTTCTTTTATCTGTGTGTTCCGTTATACTATCCGTCAATTTCTAATAAACCTCCATAGTTTAATAAGGAGTTGTCGCACCTGAAAACAAGAAAGGAAAGCTAACTGCGGGCAGAGCCGAAGTTGATATACCCTTGCAGAATATTCTGTAAGTTATATTCTCAAAAATTATTCATATGATGCATTCTTAAAACTCATTAACAAATGCCAACTTATGCCCTTTCCGATCGTTAAGTTATATGGCAGCTATAGGATAAAGTCGGCCGATCCGGCTCGTTCCGACTTATATACTACCTGCAATAGGAAGAAAACTTTTAGGAAAGTTTCAAGCAGATAGCTTTAAAACTGATGGACTAGTTTGCGTAGAAATGGACAGACGGACGGACAGACGGACCGACGGGCATGGCTAGATCGACTCTCCTGGTGATGCTGATCAAGAATATATATACTTTATAGGGTCGGAAATGTCTCCTTCACTGCGTTGCAAACTTTTTACTGAAATTATAATACCCTGTGCAAGGGTATAAATATTAAGTCCAGACTTTTCAATAAATTAAAAATGTGCGGATTACAATCTGCCTTCTCTCGATACCTAAGGGCTCGGTCAAATTTTACCGTGCTTAACGCTCGGTGTTATAAAAACTGATTCGTTGTATGGTCCAGTTTTCACAAGATCCAAAACAGTTTTATAATTTTGTTAACACTAAGCGTAAATAAGCCTGTTACCCAGCAATCAGGCAATTACCGATCTATTTGCCCAGTTCTTCCAGACAACATATTCCGTTTCATCCCGTCCAAATCCGTCTTTACATATGCCATATCCAAGTCAAATTTAATTTGTTGTACGAGGTTGAGCGAAAGCTCCCTTCTTTTGGATCTCCATAAAGTTAAACCAGTCTATTCACCGGGTCCTGATGGAGTTCCAGGCTGCGTGCTTAGATACTGTGCTGAAACTCTGTGTAGACCTCTGCACAAATTGTTTACCTTATCTTTATAAACTTCTCACTTCCCCTTTGTTTGGAAGGAGTCAATTGAAGTAGATAGAATACAAGCAATTACCGAGGTATATCCAAATTATCCGCCATCCCAAAGATTTTCGAAAACGTTATTACACACCACTTGCAACATTTTAGATAAATTTTATCTCCATGTCAACATGGATTTATAGGGCGAAGATCTACGAGGACAAACCTTTTGTAATAAATGGCTTCAAAAAAAACATGCAGCCTGACGAGTTTACACTGATGTTAGTTAGCGTTTGATTCAGTAAATCACCCGCTTCTTGTATTTAAGCTAGACTTATTAGGGTTTCCATGCGATTATCTAACTTAAGTTATCTTTGTGGTAGGACTCAACGAATCCTCTTTAAAAGCTCTATCTCTAATTTGATCCGAGTTACTTCAGGCGTCCCATCAGGAAGCCATCTTGGCCCATTTCTATTTCGATTCCTAGGCCTATATTACTAAAAGCAATAAGGCTATGTCGCTTTTGCGCTGCATTTTGCTATCGTTTCTATGGCAGCTATATGATAATGTTCTCCGAATTTAATTTTATTAAAACCGTAATTCCATAATATTTAAATATTACCAACTCCCATAAAAACAACAAAAAAATTAAAAACAACAAAGTTATAATTTTTTTGAACAACTTTTGGGAAAGTTCCAAGCAGATAGCTTTAAAACTGAAGGGCTAGTTTGCGTAGAAACGGACTGACGGACTAGATCGACTCTCCTGGTGATACTGATCAAGAATATATGTATATTTATAAATGTCTCCTTCACTGCTTTTCAATCTTTTGACTGTCACCCTCTGCAAGGGTATACAAATTTAAAACTATATCATAAAGCAGCTATGAACGATTAAAATTTTCAATGTTTTTAGTTGCATCGAAATTAATATAATGTAGTTATAAAGAATATTTAATATTTGATTTCTTTCTTGTTATACCCTTGCAGAGGGTATTATAACGCAGATTGCCCAACAGCAGAGTTCTTTCGTACTGCACCAGAATGTCCTTGATCTCCTTTTTGGATGCCGCATAGACGTATTTCTGGTAGAAGGTAACGACGGCCTTTGGAAGGGCGCACGCCGTAGAATTGTTCCTGTCGAGCAATAGGAGAGGCTTCTGCAGTTTGTATTGCAGGACATTGGGCTCAATCTACTCCAGAGGACGCCCGTTCACCTTCAGGAGGCAGTTGCCACGCTTGCAGTAAGAGTTGGCGGTTTTCCAGCGTCCGAGAATGTCCTTGATCTCATTCTTGAAAGCCGCATCGACGAATTTCAAGTAGAAGGCAACGAAGGCAAGACTCGAAATCAGCGGAGAGCGATGTGATAAACAATATTTTTTGTTCATAAAAATTTGCTGGGAACGATATTAGTCCAGTCGAAACATCAACAGGAATTTCGCCATTGCCAAGCGCCAGCAGTTGACTCGAGAATTCAGCAGCGGAAGGGTCATTCTGCAATGCGACTCTCATATTCGTGAACTTTAACTTCTTAAAATATCGCCACAAAGAGGACGATTTTAGGCATGCATAAACTTCATCGGCAGTCGTAGATTTCGGGATGACGGGAAGCGTTTGACGAAAATCTCCGGACAGCAATATCCAAGCCCCACCAAATAGTTTCGAATCACCTCGTAAATCCTTCATCGTTCGCTCAACTGCC